TGCTGAAGATGAGCTCCGAAAGCAGCACGAGCCGAACACTAAGACAGTGAAAAATGCAATGCGAGTTACCTATGGAATGAAGTTGCCGATGATTACCCATGCATGCTTCACTAATACTCGAACACTATGCACAGTGGAACAACAAAGCACACGCGTGAGATGAGCTGACGACTGATAAGATCCGTACCCTTTGTCATGATAAGGAATCGGCGACGAGAGCGCAGACAACATTGAAACAGCGTGCGCAAACCGTGAAAAGCTTCTCAAGGTAGAAAAGCTTCTCAAGGTGACAGCCCTGCTTGCCTGTGATCAAGGCACATTTGGAAGTTATCTTAAAACCATTTAGTTGAAATCATAGAAGAAAAGGAATTGGGCAACTGTGAAACACTATTTCAGGAAAACTTATGGACTAACCTTATAGCTTTATCTAGAGCTAGGTGGGTCAGTTTAGCTTTCATGAACTTCTGTCCCTCAACCGTGTGCACACCCAAAGAACTGGCTTGCCACAGCAGAAATGTCGGAGGACAGTTGCCCTACATGGTTTTGGCAATGGTAGCATCTGCTTGCTTATCAGTGTGTGCATGAAAGATGCATTTTAAAAGTTTTATATGTGACACAGTCTACACCTTTTAGTTAGCTCTGCTTTCAGTTCTAGCTCTGCTTTTGTCAATGCGTAGGTTTTGCTGAATGGTACAGCGCATACAAAAGTCAAGGCCGGTCGGCTGTTTCCAGCAAGGGTTTACGGGCTATTGGTTTTATTATTGTACAGGGTGGCCTTTCATGAAAGGAAATTTGGATGGATTCATTTTCCACTTCTATAGGTGTTATGCGGAGAACTTGACACTTACGGCTTTAATGCCATGAGGTTCAAGAAACACTGTGTGAAATAAAACTTGTGGTGTATTGACTTCGTTGCTTCAAAGATTTAAAGACCTTTCTTAGCTGAATTTACAGAACATAGGTACTATCGGCATCAAATGAAACGCGAACAGCGGAGCGCGTGGCACAAGCCTTATCAATGGCATAGTGCACGCCGCCAACCAGTCATTGACACAGACAGGCCCACACATCCGGTGTGGGAGCACTGCGTGATCCCCCTATAGTGCAATATTTCTGCTTGTGTTCCAGGTATGGTAATGCTATTTGAAAGGAACAAAATAAAAAAAATACAGAGGTTAAACTACTGCAGCCGAAGGCGTGTATTGTAGCATGGTTTGTCATCACGGAGTCCATAATCACGGAATATCTGGCAAATTCTATTTATAGTACACAAAACTCTGTTCAAAATGCTGGCAATTTCACGCTGTTTCACTTCGTGCCGGTAAAGCGAATCTCTTTCGAAGAAACACTCGGAATTTCCAGTTAAAGTGAAGTCTTTTCCGGTCGGTCTTAGAAAGAAGGGTGCAGGTGAAGCAGCGCTGGCGAACGAGATACAACGACGATCATTTGAGATCATTTGAAAATCAACCGCACACTGATTATATTTCTTTTTGTTTTATCTTGCCAACACATTGATTGCACTGTGACTCTGAAGTAAAAGCGAGGAATTGCGAGTGATACGATCAAAAGCACTTGGCACGCCCACGATGGCCACCTTATCACCATATGAAAACTAGGGCAGAAATGGAGATAACACACTCTAGGGGGATCGCGCAGCGCTGTCAAACCGGATGTGCACGTCTGTCAATGGTGATGACTGGACGGCACACACTATACTGTTTCTAATGATTGAAACACGCGCTCCGCTTTTCGGGTTTCATTTGATGCCGGTAGTACATTTTTTTTCTGTGCATTTTGTATATTTTTCAGCATGGTGTCACTGTTGTTGAATTGTAATGTCGCAGAAATGGAAATGGTGGCCTGGTTTTCAGTTCCTTATTCATTTTGAATTCTGTGTTCATGCCTTAAAATGCATTTTTCTCATCTTGCCTAATTACCCAGAAAGCATCCATCTGCATGATTTGACATGTATATGTGAAATTATGGCTGCAGTGTTACAATGTGCGGAACACCTTGACGATGTACCACTAGGAATTGAAAGGAATCGCAATGAAAATACTAACTTTACAAAGTGTAGTGTTAAGTTGGGTGGTTTGAGATGAGGGTTTTCCGAGCATTGCGTCTACTTAATTTTATATAATGAATGTACTGGGTTTGTAGTGCTTTGCTCTATTGATTATTGTGTTGCCTGTTTGTGTGCTTATTGTATTGTACTGTGTCATCAGTTATTGTAAATAAGACTGTTTTATGTACAGTGCACTTTTGGAATGCCAATTTCGTGTGGACATATTGGTTTAAAAGTTTGCCAGAAACTTTATCTTCTTTATTTAGGATGTTTGTGCAGGGTGGTAATGTTTTCTACTCACGGATTGAAACGCAAAAATTTGGGTCGGAATAATATATGCAGATGATATTGGCAGATCCAGAGGGGGGGGGGGGGGGGCAGTAGGGGCGATCGCTCCCCATTCGAAGGGCTGTGTCAGCACCCCCCCCCTCCCCTCACTTCAGTGCTTGTAGTTCACCTCCTATCACCAATTAGGAGGATAAGTGAATCCACTGCGAGTACCCATTGACGGTATTTATGCTATGAAGGGGTTTTTCTGCTAGTAGAAACAAGTCGCAGCCTCACCCGCCTCTACCGTGTTACTTAATGTGACCCCCCCCCCCCCCCTCATATTTAGTGGCTGGATCCGCCCCTGCATGTATTCTTTCATTTTCAGCGTCTGCAGTTCATGTCATATCGGCATAATTTTAACTCGAATGTTACCTTTAATGGCCAGCTTTGCCATGACATGCAGCTGCTTATAGCAGCCATCATACCAAAAAAAAAAAAACGTTTCATTTCAATCTGTGAGCAATGCACATTTACAGTGTATCAATGCTGTGATTTGTAAAAAACTTCAATGCCAAGCTGTGGTATTTTTTGCGCTTTCTCGTTACATTTCTCCTCCTTGCATGTCCTTGCAATTTATCTCTAACCCCTTAACTGTTCAGTTTTTAAAGAATTTCCGGTCAAAAAGTGCCTATTTTTATTGCTGATTTCAAATTTGATTGTACTAAAAAGTAGATAGTCGATGTTGAAAGATTTTCACCACATACTTAGTCAAATAAACGGACTAAAGTTTATTTCTGAACAACACATAGGAAATGAGTTACCTGCTAATAATAAAATTATAAACCCTATAAACAAAACATTTAAGACTCCACATCTTCACTTGTGTAGGCTAAGCACCCTTGGCATATTTTATTCAGGAAGCTGCAGGGCTTTGCAGAAAATTTCAAAACGCGGAATAGCGCAAAGCAGCTTCACTGGTGGGAGCTCGCATTGTTCGCGTCTGAGCTGTCTTCATCATCACCAGAAGAGCTACTCATTTACCATCATCGCTTTCTTCACTTCTGGACACAAGCTAAATATCTCTACTCGAATCGTCATCACTTCGAAGCAGATGACAAAAACGAATAGTTTGTTTTTCGTGTTCACGGGCCAGCTATGCACGGTTCGCCATCACCGCACGCCGTCTTTCCATACACAAACCGTGCTCCTGCTGCAGGAGAAAACTAAATACTTGAGGAAATGCTTTCATCTGTCGTATGGCACGCAATGTAACATGTAAGTGTGCGCTTCTGCCTGAACGCTAGAGAGGAGTACCTATTGCCCCGCCGTGGTGGTCTAGTGGCTAAGGTACTCGGCTGCTGACCCGCATGTCGCGGGATCGAATCCCGGCCGCGGCGGCTGCATTTCCAATGGAGGCGGAAATGTTGTAGGCCCGTGTGTTCAGATTTGGGTGCACGTTAAAGAACCCAGGTGGTCAGAAATTTCCAGAGCCCTCCACTACGGCGTCTCTCATAATCATGTCGTTGTTTTGGAATGTTAAACCCCACTTATCATCATCATCAGAGGAGGAGGAGTACCTATTCCGCTAGGACGAGCTCTACTCGTCCAAAGCAGTTTGGTGACAGTTTAGGGTTTGGGAGCAGTTAAGGGGTTAATCTTGCCTTACGTTCCCCCTCGTTTTTTTTTTTTTTCATTTTTCTTTCATGCTGCATTGTGTAGAGTAGCCCTTCCGCATAATTTCATAGTTCATCAATTTGACATCATAATTTTGCCTTCTTGCCAACTATATTAGTAGTTATCATGGTGTAAATTCTTCTTAGTTTCATTTCTTTAACTTTGTCCGATATTTCATTCACCATCAGTGTGTGCCGGTGATATAGCACCTCTGCAATCACCCAGTGATTTCTTTCATTGTGGCTTGCGTTATTTTCTGTGCTACTATTTGTATTATGTGAGGACTAGCTTACTATGAAATATTTATTGTCTTGACGGTTGTCTTAGAGTAGCTCAGTTTCAGGCATACTCACATGTGCACTAGATTTTCGCTCCATTCGGGCAGTTTGATGTGCATGCTGAATCTTGTAGCGATTCAATATTCCAAGTTTGCTTTCACCTCTTCACCTTGGGTAAAAATCTGATACAGCTAGTTTAAAAAAGAAGTTTACTAACATTCCAGATGGGTTGCACAGCAAAAGTGAAACGTCTTTTCACGTAGTGAGGCACAGGCCAGTTTTCAGGCTGTGTTGTCCAGCAGCTGTCCAAGTTGGTCATGCCTGCCTGCAAAGGAAGCGTCGCAATTCTCCTTAGGCCCAGCTGTACCTGCTGCAAGATGCTTCTGGCATGGTGCCATCAATAATTTTTTTTCGGCTGCAGTAACTTTTTCCATGCCTCGCTTTTGCTGTGTGCTTGTTGAGTGCGCAACTAAGTGCTGCTTGCATTCATTTTTAAAGGGCTGCTTATATTTGTGCCATAAAAGTGCTCATTGTTCCTGCCTTTTGTTTGCAGTGCATATTTGGCTGCTTAATGTGAATGCTAGTGCTATAGACCTCAGTGCATTCTCTCATCGCATTCTCTCACCTATTTGTGTTGGCTTGTTCTTGCCCTCTCCCTTCCTCTGAATCTGCTTCCCTCCCCTGGCGCACGCTCGTGTCCTTGGCATATCCAGGTCCCTTGTCCCCGTCATGCCTGCTGATGCCTCCCCCTCCCCCACGAGACCCTCCCCCTGCACCAAAGGGTGCGGGGCCACCACGTCGGCCCCCGGACTACAATGTCGCCGCCCAGATGGCAGCTCGAAGCCGACAAGCCCAGCGGCTACATCGGGCCCGTAGTCAAGAGGTCATGGCGGCCACTGTTGCAGCAGTAGCAGCAGCAACAGCAGCCTCTTATGCCTGTGAAGTGACGACTGGTCCAGCTACTGACCATGAGGCTGATGAGGAGGGTAGGTGGCCTACCTAAAAAGGAGGCATCACTGCGGGAAGCACTAAGTAACTATGTGCGAGTTGGTTGTGCTGATGTTTGTGGCATGTAAGGGCCTCTTCATGTTCATCATAAACACGCCTCCTAAAAATACACAGATCTTAAGCACTCAGGGTGAAGTAAAAACTGTACTGCATGAACTATGTATGTGCAAGTATGTTTGGTTCAGTTCTATAAATCTAATTGCTGCAGTGTCTCTGTAGCTCTGGTGTGCCACTGCCGATCTCATTCTGATAGGCTCAGTACCCAAGTCCAGTGGTCACATAATGATGGTGATGGAATGCTTAAATGTAACTTACACTTTGGTGCATGTACACTTACAGGTGTCCAGAAGTGATTGTATCGTTGCCTCTGTGGCATCTATTTATGGCACACGTGTGGTTTTGGGATGTTAAACACCGTCGCTATGTGAGCATGTGTTCAGGTCTTGCACCAGCATATTGTTGAAAATATTTTAAGGTGTGCAGAATGCTTGGGTTGATTACGGTAATTAAAGGGACACTAAAGGCAACTATTAAGTCGACGTTGATTGTTGAAATAGCAGGCCAGAAACCTTGTAGTGTTACTTTTGTGCCAAGGAAGTGCTTATTTTGAAATAAAATTACGTCTTAGTGCTCTTTATCGGGCTAGCGCACTTTAGATTACCCGCCTCAGGCAGAACGTCTCGCATCACTGTTGCCGTGCACAACATTGTTCAGATTTACTGCTTGGTCGTCGACACAAGTATCAGCAGAACGAAAGCAGCGGGAGCCACAGGAGCAAGAACGGCCATGGAACAATTTCCTGTCATTGGCTGCGACATTGCAGGCATGCTTGGTTCAATTGGGCCCCACTAGATAATACGGCCTGTCCAGCTTAACCAGGCGAAAATTGAACTTTTGAACCATTCGGGCCATTCCCCATAGTAACGTACTGCAGTCCTTATTTCCGTGAATCAAACAGAAACGAACAAGCAGCATTTTTTTCCGTCTTTCGGGGCATGAAATGTTCTTTATTTAGAGCAGCTATTTCGATTTGCTAGTGAATAATTGTAGGCGATACTTCTAATGTAATTGGAATAATTTTGAGGATTTCCTATCATAGTGCATGTGTTCTCTTGTATTTACCTTAATTTCTAGGTAAGTAAAGCACTGCTGTACATAATATTGTCTTTTTAGACATCATGCATTGAGTTTTAACTCCCACGTAAATCGTTATTTGACTTTAGTGGCCCTTTGATGGTGGCTACATTCGAAGGTTGCAGGCTGGCTCTCTGTTCAGAAGATTTTAAGATTATTCTTTCATTCCTCTATTTCTTTCCATCACCTTCTTGATATAGACACACAAGCCTTCATAGATGTATACATTATGGCTAAGTGCTTAAGTAACACTGCACTGTTGTTGTGCCAGTAATTCAACTCGTGCTGGCATAAATTGGATATTTAGTACAACAGTTGTTCAACAGCATTAGCAGAAACTTAAGTTTAATAACCTTTGGCTTTCAATTCTAGAATTGTTTTCATACACTGGCACAAAAAAATAAATTTTTATTTTCAAAAAAAGTGGCACTATTGGGATTTCTCTAATTCCTTTAGAAGCAACTATGGAATCTTCTGCTAAGTTATTTTCAACATAATTTGTGAAAAAAAAAAAACCTGTTGATGATTTACCACACAGAATAATTTCAGATTGATTTTTTTTTTTATCATTGAAATACAGTTGTAGAGTAGCCATCGCAAGTATCAAGACATGCGCAACAGTTTCTCTTTGTCAGAGAGATTGTGTAACTACTAGCACCTATTTTGCACTGTAAGGAATTAGTACCGGTCCGAGTGTGGGTATTCACTGTGCAGCAAACACACTTCTTGCTGTTTTCAGTCTCCTTATTTGACTTTTTGTACTTTCCACAAAGCCCTTTTTGTGTTTATTAAGGCCACAAAGTCGGGAAAGTCTCATTTTGGCCTTCATACTTACAAGCCATGCTGGAGTGTATTTTTTCTGCATCATTGCAGAAGGGTATTTTACACCACAAACTAGAAGCATGCTCATGTATTTTGTTTTTGAATGGTGGGGACAAAGCCTGATCATTTTGACAGTGTTGGCTGTGGTCAACTTTATTGGTATGCGGTGTATGTCCTATAATCAACTTTACTTGACTTTTGCATGGCTGCACGCTCACCACATGGCATGTTTTTCTTTGCACATTTGTCTATCTTGCTGCTTGCAGCACTATGCATCTTAAGCGTGTCGCTGGGCTTTGTTTGTTGTGCTGGATTATTTATTGTTCTCTTTGTGGCATTTGTTTTTGGACATGTCTTAGAAGTTATGCCCCGTGTTAAAGGGCCCCTAAACCACCTCCAAATTTTTACAAACATTGCTACGAATTCGAAGAAACAGTCGCTCTTTCTCTCTGGGCCTTTCCAGCCTCTGTGCGATGCATAGCGCAGAGCTTTGACGTTTCATGCTGTGATTGGTCCAGCAATTGGTTAGTCTGCAAGCATTCCACGCTCCTTGTTCGCCGTGTTGCCCGCGTGCACCACCTCCCTGCAGCACACATTCTCCTAGGTACGCACAGACCGCACGTGCACCTGCACGTCAGGGTGGAAGGTGGGGGGGTGTGCGATTTTTTTAGGAAAAGACTGAAACACACAGCGGTCAGAAAATGTGGTATGGAGTGCACGATAACTTACTGTCATGTGAGGACACCTCAACTGATACACTTACGGGAAGCGGGGGCTGAAGGGACAGTGAGAGTGAAGAACGAAAGTAATGGCGTATTGGGCTAGCTTCTCCGGTCCCCTGGCTTGGACAGATGCTGAGGTAGCTTGCAATCGGTGTGCGAGAGGCAGTGTACTAACCAAATACATCGGTAGTCTCGGAGCAATGCACCTGTAGCACCACCATGCAGCCAGCGCGAGAAGCTGCTGGGTAAACACAGGGTTGTACTAGACTGCATCTGCACGTGTGCAGTCTAGCCGGGCCGTGTTAAACGTTCCTGCACCGTGTTATTTCCCACATGCCTGGGTTATCTCCCACATGCCTGAACACAGCGCCAGCCTTCTGAGCTCAGCGCATAAATCTCACAATCATTATCGTTCGAGCTGCTATCTTCAATGTGAATCACATGGCTATGTACGACGAGCTGCTATAGCGATAGTATTGACGTTTCCTCCGTCTTTACTAGCTGGCTCTATTTTGACAAGGCGCATTTAGAGCTTCGTAGATGTGAACTCGCCACAAGTGCCAATAACTCACGTGCACGAAGTGTTACGCGCCCGCCGATGTCCCCTTTCAAAATGCGCGCTCGCGTTGTTGGTGCTGTTCACCTGGTTCACCTGCCAACAGCCACGTGATTTGCCGGCTTGTCACGTGATCCGTTCTCCCGGTCAGATTGTGCTATGCCAGGCCACGCTCTCACTTCGAAGTCAAGAGCGGTTGAGGGAGCTTCGAGTCAGAGGCTGATGCTCTGAAGGTAGTCGGAGTGCTCAAAATTCTACCAACAGAAGGCAAAGCCACTTTTTAGTGTTCCAGAGCTCTCACGAATGCCCAACCGAATACGCCATAGTGCAAAAGAGAGGAGATACGAGAGGAGAGCGAAAAAAATACGAAGTAAAAAAAGAAAGTGTGTGCGTGAAGGGGGGGGGGGGGGGTCGTCAAGGAGGCAAAAAAAAAAAAAAAAAACGTGATGGGCGGAGAGACACCCGGAGAAGTGCTTGGCGAGAGGGCAAAGTAGCTTTGAGAGAGGATACAAGTGGAGGGTAGCGAAGGAAAGAGTGAAATAAGCGATGGCTGTTTTTGATGATTAAACGCATCTAACTCGGCTATTACAGCACTGTTTCAAAAAATTCTCGCAGCTCTGTATTCGTTGTACACTCGAGCACAACTTCCAACCACAACTGAATTTCTACCTCTGGGTGGTAGCTGTAGTTATCAAGCCTCAGGTGAAATGATAAGATGTGCTAGTCTTTATGGAATACACAATCTTGATTGTGGTTTTAGAAAGTGTTAAACGTGGTTTTAGAAAGTGTGTGTAGCACACACAATCTTGAACGTGGTTTTAGAAAGTGTTAAAATTAGCCTAGCTTGTGCATTGACTTCACCAATGTCCATGCTTCGGCAGTGATGATCATATTTATAAAGGGTTACTGATGCCAGTTTTCGAAGCTGACTTTACTATGCCATACATATCTCCTGTATAAAGCGGCGGCTGTGGCTAAGTGTGAAGATTGGGAGATCGCGATATCTTATCTTGGACATTACAGTCGATTTTCTTATTGCACGCACATTTATAGCAACACTGTTGTTGAGGCAAACTGACAGAGGGACAGAGCTTTTTGCCCCTTTGTCATTCCCTCTGCATAGCTTTCAGTGCTCTGTGTATGAAAGAAGCAAGTTCTTGGAGAGTGCAAGAAATTCCTCTAACTGCACTCGTACTTGACGAATTTTCAAATTTTTTACGGCAGTCGATTTGTGAGGCAATAAGCTTTTCAATGAAGCCATTTGATGTGTTCTCGAAAACTGTTTTAGGGCTCCCTTAACGTCTTCAAATGTATTTCACCATAAGTGACATTCCTGATGAATTACTAATGGGCAATGCAGTATGGTATCATTTACCAGCCAGAGCAACCTGGTGTGTTATGCATGCTGTCTTTTCATTTTTTTTTTGTTTTGCTTTATTGACTCTAAGGATGTTGCTGTCTGTGTTGTACTTTACTTTTTGTTGGTTTTTTCTCAGTTGTTGCAATTGGGGCTTGTAAGCCATTACAACTTTTGCCGTTTACTTGCTAGTATGTCTTGCATTGATCAATATTGCAGTAGTCCTACATCTGGTCTGATGGGGATCTATCATTCTGAGGCAACAAGCAGAGAGCTAAGCAGGAACAGCGATGCTTCACCCCTTTTATTGACATCTGAATCGTTACCAGTAGCTGTGTGCCATCAAAGCTTTGAGGTCTTGTTATGCAACAGAATAGTGTGCGGTGCTCTGCTGTAAAAATATATTCGGCACCCATTATGGCTGGTGCTTTTTTTGTACCACTGGTCAACATTGTCGACACTATGCTGGCAAATTCCAGTATCCAATGAAAGCTCCACCCTAAGTGATGTTTGACCTCCAGGCGATCAGGCAGCGCTGACTGGTGATGCGGAAAAGTGCCAGCCACTATGCACACTTACCTTTTTTTTAATTGTGTAACACTCTACATTATTTTATTTGAGCTTCTGGCAAGCCATCTCTGAGGGGAGTTATTATTAACCAACTGCCTTTATACATACCGTGTGTGTGTTGTCACAAAATTTTTGTGCCTTCTTCCACTGGAAGCGTTCATGCCACGCTGTATTTCTCCTCTCTCCATCCCACAGATGAAGACGAAACACAGGTCTCTGCTGTGTGATCTCCAACGATGGACAACAAGGAACCAAGCTGCACCTATTGTAGACATTCTCCGAGCAAAAACTGGCTGCCATTGATGGAAGCACAACCTGAGGGGGGCCACTAGTCGACGACGGATGTGAGCAAGCTGTGCCGCCGTCTGCGCTGCCTCCAAGTGGCACGGCGGTCATGTGTGTGCATGGGTGTACGAGGCAGTTCGTGCAAAAATGACTGCGTTTTTTTTTTTCTTCAGACCTTTTGCTTCGTTTTCCCACATTCTCTATTTGCAAAACAAGTGTGAAAATGCGGTGATTAGACTGTGCTTGTGTTTCTCTGCTTAGCAAGCACCTTGTTTCAAGCTTGCACCTTTAGCAAGGCAAAGCAGTATATTCTTGCTTTCTGTGAGCATGCACAAGAAAGGCTAAACTTGGAGGAATAAGAAAGAAAACCAAAGATCTAGTGATGTGTACAAATGATTTTTATATATTAGTGTAACATTTAATGCACCACGTCCGAGGCCGCCCTCCCTGCACATTGTTTGTACCATATTGTCGTGACAGCCTTTCATAAAAGGCCTCAAACTCACTCGTTTTGTCTTTGGATGTGACAAAAGACGCCTTGTGTTGTACCTTTTGCTTCTGCCTTGAGATTTTAATATCTCGACATGGCAAGCAATGTAATGTAAAAGTTTTGTATATAAGACGTGTTTCTTTTGCCGTTCACGTATCAGCGTAGCACTGGTCCCATTTGAATGTTACTTCCTTCCCGTGTATCTTGTGCCCGTTTCTTGTTATATTTGTTTAGCTCGGCTGTGCTGGGCTTTCAACATCTGTAGCCTATTTCCTTTTCTTCTCTTCTGGCTTTTGTGCATTATGAGCTTGTTTCGTATGTAATAAGGTACACAACCAGCGTCTGTGAGAGCTTGACAAAATACCGGCAACGAGTGGATATCAACCCTGAACTGTTCATGTTGCCACCACCTTAGCCAGTAAGAATGTTTGTTGTATGTGTCTTTGGCCCTGTGAATTTCTTTGAAATGCCTGCAGAAAGTGTTACTGCATGCTTGTTTTTGAGTTATCACGTTCGTAATAGGTCTCTTACTGCTGTGCTCTCAAGTATAGTCACTTCATTTTGGTGTATGTGTAAGGCAGCACGGCAATATATAGTAAAAATGAAATTTCAGGAAGTACATATGGTGAAGCTTATTGTTATATTAAGTTTGTGCTTTTGACAGTAGAAAGTTGTAAAAGTTAACGAACAAAGAGGCTTTTAGACTTTGCGCATTTTCATGCATGCAGCATCATGCTTTTAATGTGTTGTCATTCACTACTGTCCTGTGAATGGCAGTTACTTTCATTCCCCGCCTTGTGAAGAATGTGTTTTGCTGTAGCATCAGTATTATTCTTTATCTTTATTAGCTCCTCAGGTATTAATTTGTATCCATAGTAAAAAGACCTGACTTATTTCTGCTGCTATAAACCTGCATTTCAACCATTATTACTGTCATGAGCAGAATACCCGTTCACCTGCAGCAGTTACACAGGATTCATTTTTCTACTTAATGTGCAGAGGTGCAGTATCTTTTCTTGCCAAAATTTTTGCAAAATTTGGGCATTCACCCGTGTTTTTCTGTAACCTTGTGCACACTGCTGCCTCGTCACTTTTGTAACAACATTGTTCTCTTTCCTCCCCAAAATATTTTTGTACTGCCAAGACAAGAACTTTTATGGTCATGTAAAGAAGGCAGAGACAAAACAGATCTGTTGTATAGTGGTCATATAAGAGCTGTACATAGTTAAGACAAATCCATAATAAATATGGAAATGCTTTCAGTGCTGTCCATTTACTGTCCAGTCACTTCATTTTCCCCTGCTTCTTTTTTGAAAATTTTTAACCTACTGTATTCCTGTGTTGAAAACCAAAGGCACTTTTGCTGTTTGTTTGTTTCTATCTATCTACCCCTTTCTTTCTCTCTCTCTCTCTCTCTCTCTATATATATATATATATATATATATATATATATATATATATATATATATCAATGACCACAGGTCATAACATGACCTGTGGTCATGATATAAGATGACATGCCTGTCATGGGCATTGCCGAACCCTGCCCTGAAATTGGGGGTGTGCAAATAAAAAATTTAAATAACAAATCAAATAGCCTCAATTAGTAAATCTTTCAAATAGCGAATATTTTTAGAATATTGTTATAATAATCAACAGAAACAAAAATGCTCAAAGGAATGATAAATTCTAAAAAAGTGTGGGGTAACTTTTCTTGCTTTAGTCACCGAATTACCCAGATTACCCAGCCCATGTGCTTACGGGACTATCCAGTATTGTGACATTCATGATAACGTTAACCCGTGAAATTTGCCTAATACTTATGCATCAATTTTATTTAAAAGCTCTGATAAAGTATCAGCTGAAATACTGTAGTCACTGCTACATTTCGATCTACAATTGCAAAATATTTTGAAAGCTCTAGTTGCTGCTGTATACGAGCTTGCCTCACTTTAAATAGGGGCACTTTTTGTTTTAAAAGGAATGTATACATTTTTTTTGTTTTAGCTTGTTTCAAATAATGTGTTGGAATTCTTAGGTCATCTTGAAAATGGTCACCTAAACAGACTAGGCCTGCTTTGAAAATAGATACCTTACTAATCAAAAGCTATTCAATCAGTATTTGTATTTGATTAGGTTCTAAAAATTGCTATTCACACAGCCCTACCCGTAATCGTGTGTAGTACATGCCTCCAAACCACAACCCATACGATGCTGTGGGTGTCCCAAGGGAGTTGCGAATGAGTAGGCTTGTGCAAATATTTGAATGCTTCGAATACTCAAACAAATATTGCAGAATTTGAATTTGTTTAGATTTGAAGTTAAATTATTGAAAATTTTGAAGTATTCGAAACGAACGAAAAAATGTGTACTATTCCACCTTTAACTTCTTTGTAAAGGTGGTTTCACTGCAATGGAGAGGTGTAAAGCCGTGAAGGCATCTAAAAATACATAAGCTCACTTGCAATTTTTTCCCCTGTAATGGTGGTTTCACTGCAGTATAGGGGTGGTAAGCCGTAAGAACTCCTACCCATAAAAAAACCACACTGTCACAAAGCTCCACTTCAAAGTTAACTGGAGAAAATTTCACATAAATTTATCATTTTAAGTTAAGAGCTTATATGCTCCAAGTATAAAATTTTTAAACTTGACATAATTTTCAGGTTATAGCTTGCATTCTACTGAAAGTCAAATCCTGCTACCATTCTACATTGTTTCCACTTTCTTTGACCTGAAACAATGACATTAGCACTGGCCTTGTTTCAGTTCTTAAAAGATATTGTTAGATTAGTTAGGTAATGACAAATGGGCCCATTTTTTTTTACGATGTGTGATATATACTATTCAAATTCGATTCAAAATTATTTGAACAAAATCACTATTAGCACAAGCCTACAAATGAGGCATCGATGCCGTGCAGGCCAGATTCCATTCCTAACCTGTACGCAAAAGAGCATAAAATTTAGCATCGTGCGCCTGGCGGTGCCACCAAGCCCATTGAAGGTGCTATATAGTATGAGTGAGCAGTGTGAAAATTCGGGCTTATTGGTATGGTTTCATCTACGAGGTAAAACTGCATGGTGAAGCAGGACACTAAAGAAAAATTGGGACTAACAAGAGCAGAATTGCAAGTTCTTTCATGTGAGGAGTGATTGTATTAACTTTAGTAAAAAGTATGCATATGTAACTAGAACATGTTGTATGAGTTCAGTGGTTTTAGAAAATATTTGATTGCTAATTTTTTCTGAATTCTATCTGATTTATGCAGGTCACTCAAGTCTTAACGTCATACAATAGAGACCGGGCTTGTAAAAAACTTTTCGGGATAGCTCGGTCAAATACTATCCTTGTATATCGGTGCCGCTTTTTCGGTGAAAGTGCAAGTTAAAATAACCTTTCCAAGTAAAATTCAAAGCCTTTCACTAATAAGTATTATGTTTTGTATTGTTTAACTCAAAGCCACTAAAACGTCGAGAAAGGAAAAAGTGAGAGACGGAAGCAGAGACAGCGAACACGGGTGGCTACTGAAAACTGATGTTTATCAAAAAAAAAAACCTCCATACAGAGTATGAGCCATACACCACTGTGCCCATCTTATTCATGCAAGTCACCACTGTTCAAGAAAGTCACTCTCTTTCCGGGTAAAAAACACAGAAGCTGCGCTTACTTTTTTTTTTCGGATCGAGTTTCCAAATATGGCACGCCTAGTTTAAATCTTAGCCTTACTTAATATGGATACATTTCCAAACATGGGTGTGCAACCGCACTGCTTACAATGTAGCGTAAGGGTACCACGAGTGTCAGAGGGTGAAAGATTTGCATGCTCCAGCAACGAACATTAATGCATGCAAGTTGGAAGGCGGTGCGTCACGTGGTATAAACAGGAGTAAGACGACACTCTAGAGTGAACACGCGGGTACCTAAAACGAGCACGCCGTCACAAGACTAACTTTGAAACAAATTTGCCTTGTCTTGGCGTATGCGCGAAACAGAATAATGCAGCGTAAATTCCACAGGTGAGACAAACTACTTTTCTTAAAACAGCTGTCATCTGAAGTAGAAAAAGAGCCGCGTCTTCTGTGCCGGTTTGCTGTCAAAACGAACCAACAACAAAGAAAAAAGCGGGGCAAACGAGCTGCGTAAAAACGCAACCCGTTTCAGCGACACATGTCAGCGAAAAGCCCAAACATTGGCGTAATTTCTACCGCGTGCGGCTTCACAGCCAGAGCCATAGAGAAAACGAAAAATGAGCAGAAAACGCGTGTGAGGAACCAAAAATCAAGAGCAAGTGCGGGAGAGGTAAACAGAAAAAATTAACAATGTATGTTGTTAGTTTTATTTTATTCAGGGCTGTCAGGTTGCTCCAAGGGCTGGAGGTCTTTGTTGTCGCAGTTGTCCCATTTCTCACAATACTCCACCGGGTGAGGCGATGCCACATAGGCCATGGCACGTTTTGGCATACGACTCTGTCGCCAGAGTCATCGACCGCGGCGAAAACTGCCCGTCAGCGTCGTACCCCCGTTGGAGTACTCGCCTTGTGATGCCTGAACTTGTCGTCGAAGATTTCCGTGGGACATCCGCTTTTGGCTGATCTGAGCAGGTACATGATATTGCCTTTTTGTAGCGTCGTCACGAACTATCCATAGGCCGTTAGAGATAGACAAAGCGGCTCACTTCAGTGAATTCGTCGTCGCAGTTTTGCAGCACATCCACTTTCAGCCAAGCTGAGCAAGTCTATATGCTTGCCTTCGTGTGGCGTGGTTGTGAACTCTCCACAGGGCCGTAGAGATGGACAAAGCAGCTCACTTCAATGAGCTTGCTGTCGCAGTTCTGCGAAGCACTCGCTTTCACCCGAGCAACGCAAGTTGATATGTTCGCCTCCCTGTGGCATCGTCGCAAACTTGCCACAGGGCCGTAGAGATGGGTAAAGCAGCTCATTCCAGTGAGCTCGTCGTGGAGTAATCAGAGTAATCGAACAAACGTGCCATTGCGATTGCGCTTGTGAGAAGTATAGTGCAGCAACTACGAAGTCGGTGAAGACTATTCGCGGCGAGATCGGGGCAGAGATGCTCTCCACGAAAGACCGTGAGTGATACGACTAAATCGAAGTACGCAGGGTGTATGCCTTCATGTTGCAGGCAGCTGACTGTACAACGGGCGGGAATTCGTGGCCATGTATCGATGGCTTTCAGATTCCAGGTGTTGCGGTCGAGCGTTGTTTCTTTCGCGGCAGCACCGCAAAACAAGGAAGGCCTTCGACGGCTCCGATTTTGTGATTAGTGGCTGGGTACGCGGGCCGCGAGCGAAGCTGCTGCTGTTAGCGGGATTGTCATTACATATATTTGCTTGTAAGGATGTTTTGGTGCCCGGTAGATATTTATCTTTTATTAGATGACCCATTTGTAGGCTCTCAACAAACCTTTTGTCAAGGTGTGGTTCTTTGGAAAGGGTGCCTGAAGAATCCTTGCCACAAGCGCTGTTCACACATCTGCACGCCATACACCACATTAAAGAAAATCGCCATGATGCGCGAGCATGCCTCGCCGTTTACGGCAACGCACGTGCAGTGCATAACAAGGACTTCTTCGCCACCCTTCTGCAAGAACCACACATCTATAGGAGGCTTGTTGAAAGCCTGCGAATGGGTCACCTAACAAAAGATACAGCTACCGTGCGCCAAATGGTCATCTTACCAGTGTGATAATGATCCCGCATTCGGCAGAAACTTGCTTCACTCGTGGCTCGTGTACCCCTCCGAGCTGCTGCCGGGTAACAAACAGCACTCGACTGCAATATAAGAAATTTGCAAATTTCTGAGGTATCGACGCGCGGCCACAAATTCAGGTCCTTTGTGCAGTCGGCTGCCTGCAGTGTCAACGGGGCCAGTCCACATACTTTAATTTTGTCGTAATATCACTCATGGTATTTTGGGAAGAGCGTCCCTACTTAAGTTATGGTCTTCAAAGAGTTCGTAGTTATCGCAAAATACTTCTCACAAGTGCGATTGCGGCAGCACGTCTGTTCTATTACTCGCATCACTCGGTGCATGCCGCAATCGTGCTTCTCGGCTTGGCTGGTTACGTCAAAATGGCAGACTACCCACAATGCACAGCGCCTCCGCCGCACCGCCATATTATGGTGGCTAGAATTCCGCATGCGGACGGCCACGAGGACCCAACTAACCCAACTAAACAATGTCGCTCTACAGCAGCGGCAGAAGCTTTAAATAATAGGAAATATACACGAAGGCTCCCACTAAGGCACATTTGA